AGCTCTCTGGGGCTGGTCTGCGCAACGAAAGTCTCAAACTTGGTCAAGTCGGCATCGTCCTCGAACTCCGAGATGAAGAACTGGCCAGTCGCGCAATCCACAAACGTGATGCCAAATGCGGGGCTGCCGTCAATGACGGACTCCTTGATACACGCGCAAAAGGTCGCCAGGTCATCCTGCAGCATGCTACCATCCACCAGAGTGCCGCCAGTCAAGACGCAGGCTAGCTCTCGACGAATGATCTTGTCCGCTTTCTTCGCCTTGGCAGTCGTATCGCCTCGTTCTCTCATCTCCTTGCCAAGCGCGGATTCCATCTGATCAACGCGAGCAACCTTGTAGCCTTTGGCAACGAACTGGTTGACCCACATGTCGAGGGAGCTCTCAGGAACACCGACCATGCGCATGTTGACACGGTCTGTGAGCTTCAAGTCGAAGAGTTGGTGACCGATAGTGGCATCGTTCTCATACAGCTCGTAGAACTTGCCCTTCTTGAAGAAGACAACGGTATCCCACAGTTTTTGCTTGATTTCCCAGTACTGCTTCTCAAAGGGAGAGAACTTGTTCCACGCTCCTGGAGGAATGTAGACTGAGGAGGGATCGTACTCGGGATCGCCAGGGGATTTCTTGTTAATGTCTTGAATGTTGGCCAGCCAAGGATATCGGGCTTCGGGCTCGGTGGCGTGAGCCTTCTCCTTCCGTTTAGAAGCGGCTGGTCGACGAACCGCCGGGCCCTGAACAGAACGAGGAGCAGAGGAGGCAACGCTGTTCGGATCGTAACGCCATTGCTGAGCAGTAGAAGTCGAAGGCAGCTCCTCCATCGTCTCGTCCTCATCTGCGGTCTCTTCCTCCTTGATTGGCGAAGAGACTGTTGTCTTCTTCCTCGATTGTGTCTTCTTTGTAGTCTCGGGGCGCTTGCGCTTCTTAGAGCGTGAGGGAGCATCCGACTCGTCGGATACGACGAAGTCGTCCATTTCTACATCGCATTAGAAACATGGAGGGTTTGTGCAAGGGACTTCATCCTTACCTTCGTCCTCGTCGGGTCCATCATTACTGGCGGCATCCTCATAATCGTCGCCATCATCAGCTGGAACAGCGGGTGTCTTAGTACGACGACGCGTGCCTGCGGCTCTAATGCGATCGAACGGGTCATCATCTTCGTCATCGGACGGCTCAGCGTAGTTGACGGCCTTTCTTCCCTGTGAGGACGCCGAGTCAGCATGCCGCCTCGCAGAACTAGCGTCGTGGCAAACATACCTTTCGTGTAGGGCTAGAGGAAGGCAGAACAGGTCTGCTACGAGACACCTGCGGGGTTACAGTCTCAGCGGGAGTAGACGGTGATGGCAAGGAGTCCTGAGCTACCTTGAGTCCTGTGCCGTCCATATTCTCCTGGGAGCTCGAGGGCTCCATGGCGTCACTGCTGGGGACGGGGGTCATGCTGGGAGGTTGCTTGACCTTGGGGAGTTCGTTCGTCCGGGTAGACTCTCTGAGGCATGGCGATGAGTCGGGGCCTTTGGCCGCGGGCTTGGGGGTCGGCTTGGAGGCAGACTTGGAAAAGAACTGTACTATAGTCTTCTGAGTTCCTGAAGACGACGACGGCTGGCGCTTCAGCGAGGGAGTTTTGGCCGGCGTGCGAGCCGCTGGTGATGATTTGGGCGCCATGACGGCGAGTTGGATTGGTGAAAGTGAGGTTGTAGGTCAAACGAAGGTAGTCAGTCGTGTAGGAAGAAGAATCGGGATTCGGTGTGTTCCCGGTCTAGTTGGGATAAAGGAAGGTTAGACAAAAGTAATTAGTGGAAAGAAGAGTGGTCAATTGACAGATTTGAGAGCTCTTGAGTCGACTTGGGAACGCCGCGTTCGACGGTAGCTCTGGAAAGACGAGCGAGAAGGCAGAAGATCCGAAGTGTGGGTGGGTGTGTACCTTTTTGGGACTGCAGCAAGTGCCGTGCCCCGGCAGTGCTGGGAATCGCGTCGGGAAAGATCGTGGAGTCGCGTAACCGCGTCCTTGCCGCGTCTGGCTCAGAGCTGTGTTTAATTGAACGACCGGGGGGCAAGGAACTCCTGACGTTCCACGCAGGGGCCAGGAGCAGGCACTCGCTTAACATTTTTGGAAGTGGAGAAGACATAAGCACGAGCCAACAGCATGCTGTATCACTATGCGCGTGTGCATAATTACGACATCCCGTTTGTCAGATCCACCCGGACCCGGCTCGGTGGGGTGTGGTCCCGGCCGAAGCCCGGCTAGGTTCCGGTGTAGATTAGCGCTTCATCGGAGGACGATAAACACACAAACAAGACTCGTCCACGAAAATTTTCAGTATTTACCATGTTTCTTTCTTTGATCACACGTCTTGTGAGATACCTAGTTAAAGAGTGTACTCCTTTCCCCCCCCCCCCCCCCCCCCCCCCCCCCCCCCCCCCCCCCCCCCCCCCCCCCCCCCCNTCCCCCCCCCCCCCCCCCCCCCCCCCCCCGGGCCTGCACTTCCCCGGTTCCTATGTACAAAACTGAAGCCTGTCATCCAGTTTGGCTAAGAGAGTGTTGGAGCCGTCCAGCTGGCGTAATCCTGCAGATTGACGTTAACGGTACTACGCTCAGTGATCGATGGCTTCGTTGCTGAGTTGAGGAGGAAGTAGTTGATGTATTGCGTGAGCTCCGAGTTTTGGCTGCTCGGGAACTGGCAATGATTGTGCCCGCCAACCAGAGAGAAACCCATGTTCTCGGGCACGCCAAGGGCCTGGTAGATCTGTCTTCCGGCCTTCATGCATCCTGTGGTCGACACGGGGCCCAGCCAGTCAATGTCGTTCTCCGCAACATACAGGCCTCGCGGCGCCACCAATCCTGCCAGCAAGTGGTGGTCTTCTGGCATCTGAGATGTCCTCGAGGTCCAAGTGTTGAAGTTCGACGAGAACCAAACATTCTCTCCAACGATCTGGCCTGCGGTTTGGATATTTTTGCCCTTGTTTTTCTCGCTGTCCGAGATGCGCCAGCAGGCTGCGCCTCCTGAGCCGGACTCCTGAGGGATGGTCAAGGCGATACGCTTCTCCAATGCACCGACAACAAAGGCACCCTTGCCGTTGCGCGAGCAGCCGGTGACTCCAAGACGCTTGGCATCAATGCCAGTGGCCGCAGTACCGAGTTGTTCGAGGCCATCGATGATGCGACCAACTCCCCAGGCCCAGGCAGTCAACGCCCCGGCACTGTGTCCGCTTCCAAACAGGTTGTAGAAGAGTCCCTGGCCACGACTGGACTGTCCGTTCTGAGCAGCGAACTGGTCATTGTTGAAAGTGATCTGGGCGACAGTGCCAGGAATAGGGATGCTTGCGCCCCCGATGCCAATGATGGCGGGGAACGGTCCGCTTCCAGAGGGCTTCTGGATGGAGGCGCTCATGCTGATAGTAGAGCTGCCTTGGATGACCCTCAGATTGAGCGTGTTGCCAGAAAGGGAAGCTTCGACCTTGCTCGGGGGCCCAGGGAAATCTCCGAGTTCGTATTGCTTGAAGGCATTCTGAATTTCGGTCTGCCGGCAGGCCCAGTCGGTCTTTGTAGTGACCTTGGAGCCGTCTGCGAACGTGAACGGGTCTGGAAGTTTTGCATCATTGACTACTGGGACGTTCGTCTTCGCCTTGCTGCAGCCAGCTTGGCGTTCGAACAAGTCCCCGGCAGGCAATGCCAGAACAGAGCTTGCAAGCAGTGTGACTGCGAGACGCAGGGCCATTTTGTGTTGTCGAGAGGTAGGGAGACTGGAATTGACGGAAGGGCCTGGTTCCGAATGGATTGGTGAGACAATCATCGTGTATTCAAGCTCTTGAAGGGCCATTTTATCTTCCAAGCCCCGACAGAGGCCCGGAGAAATGGAAGTACCCACGCGGGGAAAGTAGCATGAGCTTCTCGTAGACGCATGGATCTGTAGCAAGCCTATAAGCTAAGAATTACTTGCCATTGAAAACCGACGGCTATGTTTACAGCCTTAAGACGTTGAGGGGATATTCAACCACTGGACACGCACCTCATTGCCAAGTCGAATTGACTGCCGTCAACTTCCCCGCCGACAGCTAGACAACAACATGCCTTTTAATATATACACCACCGCCGACAATCCCAACTCGGACATATCGGAGGGAGGATTACCTTTTCAGGGTCGGCTAATTTGTCAAACACTCTGTCGAGCTCTGATCTGCGCCGGCTGAATTCTGCAGCCATGTAACGCTTTAGTGAGGATATTTGTAGCATGGCTTACGGAACAAAGTGTTTTCATATGATAGGGTGTCCAGCCTCGGGCGGGGAATTCGCCTCCATGGCCCTTATCTGACATTTCTTGAGCATGACTGTTGAGGACCGAGGCAAGGCAAGATTACGTACGTCGGCCATCCATGCAGGAACGAATTGCGATGGCATAGCATCACTTGAGTTCGATATGCATGGTATCCGCCGGCATTTCTGCAGCAATGCCCCAAGAAAAATAGAGAGGCCGAATACACGAAATATTGTCTTGAAGGGAATACGTCGAATTGCATCGAACATGGATTCCTTTCTCGGGGTCGGTTGAAACAGCCATCGACTTGAGTCTGGTACGTACCGACCTCATGCGCAGCTACGGATAACTCATCTCATCATTCTGAGGACCCATAGAATTCGGACGCACAGGTCGTGAGGTTTTTTAACGCGCTGATTTGAGCTGAAAAACCAATCAGCAGAGCTCTTCGGTTTCAATCCCAGTCTCTCTCATGCGACACGTGCATGTCTGAAAGAATACCAGGCAAGCCCAAGGCCCCAGCGCAACAAGCGAATCCCAACAATAAATCACATGTCTATCTACATCGGGCTCGCAAGCTTGGTTAAAAGCCCAACAACCTGGGATGCTCTTGAAGTAATCTCGACGCTGTGTCACTGTGTTCAATCAATTCTTACCGCCCTTGTTATTTGTTGCCGTTCGTCGCCGTTCGTCATCACGTCGACAGCTTTATTCTCAGTTTGATCGCAAACGACACAACACCAAGCCACAATGCTCGGACATACGCTGCACGAACTCATCTTCATTCGTATATGCATATTCTTCCTGCAATACCCCATCATTACATACGCATCCGCTCTCGCCGTCTGCCTCCTGGGTCCCAAGCTCGGCTCACCAGACCCGCGATGGACGGCTGCTGCTTTATGGGTTGTCGGTTTCATGTTTGTTGAATTAGCGTATGCCTTATTCATCTGGACACCGTATAAGATCCGCCTTGGGGAAGCCGCGAAACATCCAGCCCCGTTGTCGCCGGCTGCGAGACGCGCACTTTTTGAACGATGCATGGCCACAGTTCCGAACCCGGAGTTGTACCTCCGTGGGTGGTTCCTGGGGTCAGAGATCAAGGACATTCGCCGTGACAATGTTCACGAGTTTCTTCTCTGGGCCTTCTTTGACGAAAGCGCTGAGGATAACCCTACTTCAAGCGAAGTTGAGGAGGAAGTGGGCCGATACATCAGCCGGACTGAACAACTGCTGGGTAAATCATTTGAGGACGGTCGTGGCCCTGCGCAAAGTCTACGGCTTACTTTTGACGACATCGAGACCAAGTATCGCAGCTTTTGGTGGTACGTCATGATGGCTGTCGTGGACGCCGGCACCCATGTTCTCCTCGTGTTCAATGGCTTTGAGTACTACGCTCAAAGCAGAGAAGACACCCTTGCCGTCTTCCCACCACGAATTCAACAACTCGCTGCCCAGCGTCGCTCTTCGACTGGGCTGAGCTATTGGCATCGCCCACATCAACAATCTGATCGACTTCCTATTATCTTCTTCCACGGCATAGGCATAGGGCTTTGGGTGTACATTCGTTTTCTCGCTGAAATCAGTGCCAGTAAAGTCAGAGGGGATGGCCAGGTTGGGGTTATAGCTCTCGAGATTTTGCCGATATCCTTCCGGTTGACGAAGCCTCCTCTGGGCAAGGACGCCTTTCTCGAACAATTCACCGAGATTCTCGACCGTCATTCGTGGGACAAATTTGTTCTTGTTTCTCACTCATATGGGTCTGTTTTGACAACGCATGTCTTGCGCTGTCTGGAGTTGCAGGCGAGAATCCCACGAGCGGTGCTCATCGATCCCGTGAGCATACTGCTCCATCTCCCCGACGTGGCATTCAACTTCACACGGCGTCAGCCAAAGCGCGCCAATGAGTGGCAGCTATGGTACTTTGCGAGTACAGACCCAGGGGTTGCCCATTGCCTCGGCAGACACTTCTTCTGGAGGGAGAATGTCATCTGGGCCGAGGAGCTCGCAGGACACCATCCAGAATTGGAAAAAGCAGTTCGAACTGACGGATCAACGAGCGATGGGCGAACCGCGACAAGGAAGATCACCGTCTGCTTATCGGGGCAGGATTTGATAGTTGACAGCCATGCTGTTGCCAAATATTTGGCAGACGGGAAGTCAAGCGACCCCGCATGTGCGCAGGGCGAAGAGAAGCAGGGTCGGCGCAATGCTGCCGGAGTGGCTGGTTTGGGAAGCGAGCATCGACATTCAGCTGGGTCGGACATAGACGTGCTCTGGTTCCCCTCCAGAGACCATGCGCAGGCGTTTGACTCAGTGCAGGACAGAGGGCGTATTGTCGATGTTGTACGAGAATACTGCGAGGAATGACAGGCAAGCGGCTCGGCAAATACACCATGGAGAAAATGAACTTGCGCGCGGGAAAGGGAAAGTCGCTTCTCAGTGGTGACTCCTAGACTCGGAGTGTTGTACCATGTGACACCACAGGAAGCCAGCTGTCAAGGCAATCCAACTTCATTCGCAAACGGTCTCATTTGGCTCGGTCACCACCCCAGTCTGTTAGGCCTACTACCACCGGCTGCGAGCCGCTGCGGGTGATGACCCACGCATTCTCTTGATCTGTTTCGTTAAGCAGCTGGTGTTCCGTCCAAGCCGGAACGAATGCGAAGTCACCGGCTTCCATATCATGTCGCTTGACCTCTTGCGCCGCGCCCGGGCTGACAAGTAGAACTCCGGTGCCGGAGGTTGTGTAAATAATGGTATCTTGGCACATATTAGAGACCCATCACAAGGGGGCGGGAGGGCAGTACAGTGACAGGTTGGGGGCGTGAAAGAGGGGATAAAACGGGGGCACGATTCTGACCTTGCTCGCCGTGATGACGCACAGAGGATGTAGTGTGCGGTTGGAGAGTCAAAACTGCTTAAAATAGTTACACAGGGAGCTCCATCAGTGAGGAAGTATGTTGCGTGCTGGTTGGGCAGGGGGAGAGGCAGGCTGGATCGGCCGGGTGTAACATACCAGAAGCACAGAGCTTATCGCTTTTGCTGACAATAGCATCGGCCTCTTTGGCGGGGCCTGGTTCTGGAGTTGTATCGGGCGCGCGTAGCGTTGTTGCTTTTGTGATGTGAACCGAGGAGGATGAGATGATCATGGGAAGCAAATCGCTGATAAGAGGGATCAAGGACGACATGGTTTCCTGCAGGATGCTGGTCAAGCGGGATTCCGAGGTTCCGGTGGCCCTCCAAGGTCGGAACTGCAGAAAGCGGTCTGGAAGTTCAGGCGTGTCGTCTTGACGCGCTCCGGAGACAGGAAGAGGTCGGGTCGGGGTTGGTAGGGCAGCCCTCCAGTGGCGGACGGAAGCTATCACCAAGTAGGAAGGAGACGTTGGGCGGTCTTGGAGGTGAAGTGGGCACTCCGGCAACGGCTACAGCGAATGGCCGGGATTCCAAGACACCGAGCGACTGTATTGCTGGCTAGATGACTTATGGTAGCCCCGAGAAAATCGGAATGCGAGTGTCACACGCGTTGATGCGAGACGAGACGATGTGACAAGGTGCTCAAGCAAGCTGAGCTGTTGGAGCAAGGCGCGTCCGTCGTGAAGGAGGTGTTGTGGTGGGGAGAGCCAGCGGCAAGGCCGACTGCACGGCAACGTTGACAGCGGGTGATGACTGCCAGAAGGTAGTCGATTCTGACGTTGGATGATGGTTCAGATATGGTTGCCAAGTGAGGGGCGTGGTATGGATGTTCTTGGAGCGAGGCTAGGGAAAATGATGTGATTCCCAGGACGAAGGATAAGCGTAATTAAGCCTGGTCACAAAAACCCAGGGGCCGGTGGGAAGCGAGGCTTCAAATGGGAGGTAAGACAAAGTTAAGGTTAGGTAGCCTTGGATTGAGGTGAAAGTTGTTAGGGTCGAGGGTCGAGATTCGCTGGATCTGAGGGAATTGGTATGAAGTGAGCCGTAGCGTAGCGGACGACGGAGTGGTAAGAGGAAGGAGACGTGGATGGGAGCCCCGCCATGTCTTGGGTGCCTACCTGCCTAATTGGGCAGGCTGGTGAACATTCTCCCTGACCTGCATGCGCACCGTTAGATACATATACAAATATATATATATATATGCATAGGGGGCTAATCCCTTATGCGTCAATACGTCTGTAGTTGCATCTCAGACAGACCAACAAAAGAGACTGGGCCGGTTTCAACATGGACCAATGGATGTTTCTTGCTGCCATTCTGCAAAGGATCCTCTCCAGATTCCACTCGCAAAGGTTCCCCTAAAGCCGGGCTTGGCCAGGGCCTTTTGACGATGCATTGATTGCACGACAAGAGAACCGCCGGCTTGGCCACGCCGAGGTTGTGGATCGACTGACTGGCTGCAGCTGCACGAGCACCAGATGGAACAGGATCCAGGCTCGACATAAGAACGAGATGTTCGTTCAGTCTGCTGGATGCCGGGAGCAAGTCTCCAAATGGCAGCCTGAAGGGCGGCAACAGGCACCGTGGTGTTGCTCCAAGCTGCTGTATGCACCGCGAGAGGACCACAGGACCACCTCCTGGGCAGGCTTATCGATGGCGTTATCGCTGGGCCAGGCCCGGTTGCATCTATCGGGCATAACGTCCGATAAGCGAGAGCTCACAGGGTACTCAAGCCATGAAATGAGGTTGGAGTGTTCAAAGGGCAGCTCAACGCCCGACTGCAAGCTTCAAGCTTCAAGCTTCACGTACCTCAATTGGAGGCCGGCATACTGCCGTACGCCTACCCGCAATAGCATCGGCTAGGTATTCGCAGGTAGGGTACTACCTAGGTAGGTAGGTAAGGTGTGAACGCAACCATGTGCGTACCTACATCCAATATGGCCAAAAGCTCCCCGCAATCTGCTCCCGGCTCCCCGTGCCCCGTGCGCTGTGACCCAGCCCGGTGAGGTGCTGACGGGAACGTATCCTCCCGGGCTGGTTTCCAGTGAGTGAGAGGTGCAGCAGCAGCAACAGCAGCATCAGCACCGGCATGCATATCCTGTACCCCAGCTAGCACCGCTGCACCTCATGCAACGCCCCCGAGCAGCCTTCCTCTTCCGAGAACCAGATCCCATCCGCCGGGCACTGCATTAGTCGTGCCCCGACAACAGCTGCACACCTTACCAGGCTCCTGGCATGCCGTAACCGGGACTTCACAGCTGCTGCAACAGCAACCATCACCAATTGCTAGACCAAGGGAACCTCTGGCCCGACCGCGACGAGGACTGCCACCTTCACACCCTCACCCCGGCTCGTCGGAGACGGAGACGGCGACGGAGACGTGGAGACACAAAGTCTGGAGTCATGACCCCAACACTGACGACTCCACGCCTCCCACGCATCATTGTTGCCCGACCACGTCCTCCATGACTTGTTGACTTGACACCTTGATAAGCCACCCGTCCTCGAACCACCGCCCGACAGACCGACCGATCAAACCGACGACCTGCACCATCCTACCTCGACAACCTGCCGCCAAAGCCAACGAATGCCCAGCAACCCCTTTTGGCTGGTCCCGCCTCCAAGGCTGTCCCCATAAAGCTGTGCCTAGTCCTTCCGGAAAGGAAAGCCATAACACCTACTTGGCCAGCCTTCTTCCTGCCCTGGACATTGCACGACGCTGTTCGCCCTGATCGGCAACGGTTGCCGTCTGTGTGGCACACGACTCCTTGCCTTGCTTTGTTCCTGTCCAGACATGGTCACATCCGACAAGATGGCTTCTACTCCTCCCGTTTCCAGCTCGGTCTCCGACGACGCTGCCCCAGCACCTAGTACCACATCAAATTCGAGCAGCAATTACGGCGGCATCGACCCGGAAGTTGAGTCGAACCTCTATATCCTACCATACGTATCCGACGAAGGTTTGCGAAGCGATGTTACGGACCGCCGGAAAACAATTGGATCACCTCAAACCGACTACTACCCGCTTCCAACTGAAGTTAATAACGTGACGCCTGCTGGTACGCTGTCCTCCATACCAGTCTCCTTGTCCAGCCGCCATCTGACTTGCAACTCATTTACTAGACATTTATCCTCCGCCTGCCGACGGCTGCCTACTCCTCTCACTGCCCTCTGAACTCATAGACTCAATCCTTGCATACCTGTCGCCTTGCGATTTGGCCATTGTCTCCGAGACTTGTCGTAGCCTCCATGCCCACGCCGCATCCGACGTCCATTGGTATCAAAGGGTGCAAACGAACGTGCCGGGCGTAAAACTCGACACACCGTACCCGTGTAATACCTACCGCGAGCTGTACACAGCCCATGATCCAAGATGGTTTCTACCTAAATACAAGATCTGGTTCTGCGACCGCGACCTCATGGGCAAGATGATTGTCGTGAGATACGACCCGCGGAGAGGATGCATTGAAGGATACCAGCTGCTGGCCATCAGCAATCGCACTACGTACCAGCACTGGCCTGCCGATACAACCGTCATGATCCATGCGTTCGAGCCGAAAGTCAAGCTCCATTTAGACAAACCGGTACTCCAGTTCTACCCAAATTACCGAGAGCAGTCGCGCAACTTTTATGAGGCGATGAAGAACCGCTTTGCCGCTGAAGTACCCATGGTAATTAACGACCGGTCCGATGCCATGTTCAGCAATTTTCTGATGGCTCGGCCGCTCGATGCAGCCACAGCCACTTCGAGAATGGGAACGCTCTTCCCATATGGCAATGTTTGGCCTCCTCCAGCGATTCCAGCTCGTCATCGTGTAGCAGGGGTTGTCTCAGGACTGCACGGTGACGACCTCACGCCAACAGATCTGCCGACTCGAAGAGCCGAGGCTTCTGACCAAGCCTTCCGCATCCGGCATTGGATGGAGATGGCCGGTGCCCCGACAGCGGGGCTGTTTGTCGGCGCGGGCCCTGCCGGCCTGATACGGGCTCTTCATGCCAATCTTTCGGCGCGAGGCATGCCGGGAGTGCATATCGGCGAGGAGGTTGTCACTTACTCAACGCTGGATCCCATCGTCTACACGCCGACGCCGCTCAAGCCATGGCGCGGCATTTGGGTAGGCGACTACAGCGGTCACGGCTGCGAGTTCTTGTTGATCAACCAACCGGACGACGAAGAAGTATCTGATGAGGAGCTTGGTCTGGCGCGCTCTGCTGATGAGTCGGACGATGAGTGGACACGCCGACGTACGGATGCGAGAGTACACCGAGGCCGTTTGGAAGCAATTAAGCTCACCGGGGACCCCAATGTGCCAAGGGGAGAGTATACCTTTGTTGCCGACGACCTTGGCGAGGCAGGCTTTGTTGGGCTAGCCCAGGAACCCCCCTTCCAGGGTACACGAGTTGTGAAGAGCAAGGGACATGTGGCTGGAACCGGTTTCATGGAGGGTTGGTGCCAGAGTCCTCACTCCATCGATGAATATATGCTAACGGCTCTTTGCTTTGCAGACAGGTACATTGAGTCTCAGCTCATGCTTATTTCCCATGATAGACTTGCGCAATACTGGGTCACGTTTGGTCACATTAGTTTCTTCGAAAGGGTCAATATCGACGAGTTCATTACACCATGAGCCTCAGGCGTAAGACTTTTGGGAGTCATGGCATCGAAGAAGACGTGGAAGTGTTGCGTCCGTGTAATGAGTTGGCGGGCTTCGCTGCCGATGCGAACGTTACAGATTTGTACATCTTAGCCTTGAGATGGGGATTGAATGACTTAGCAACGCCTCCAAAATACAGAATGCTTGTCAGCTCTCGCCCCTCAAATAGGGCTCGTTTCTACAGAGCTTGCTAGGATTGGTGTCGCAATCTGTCGTTGTGAACTGAGCTACAGCTTGACCTCGACCCCGCCACCCCGCTAAACACATGTAGAGGGAGACTAGCGCCATGCGAGAATTCGTTTCCTGACGATTTTCTTCGCTTCTTTGCTCCCGCTTTTATCCGACGTAATGACGAAAACTTTACAATCTTGTCCAGCTCGAATGGCATTCCAATTGAACGCCACCCCTCATTGTTTCACATGCAACTTATTCTGGGTGGATGAGGTAAGGCAGGAACTAGCCAGACGGTCCATTTCTCTACTCGCACGCAAAAGTGGCAGTCCCTTAGTCTCTCATCTCAACGTCATTGCGGCTCGCTTGTCCCCCCATTTTTTAAGCCTTACCAAACTTGGCGCATCCTTCCGCCTTAAAAAAGTGGTGGAGGTGAGCAAGGATCCGGGCGTTGCTTGACTTCCACCCTTGAACCACCCAGCTGTAAACCCGCCTTCAGAACGTTGTCTGCCGCCAAAGTTCCGCACCTTGGGACGACACCTATTTTACTTTTTCAACCCCAATCGCGACGTTATTCACGATAGCATCACGCGACTAAATCAGTCTACTCTTGCTGTTGACTTGCTCATCGAGGTCACGGACCGAGACAGCAAACATTAGGCTTGCAGGTTGGAATCCTGAAACATTACAGCACAGTCCCCGGATTCACACGTTCGGTCTTGTGACGACATCCCCGTCCAGACTGAGATCGCGTTCACTCTCATCACCGTCAATATCAGCAAACACCTTTGACTACGGCGGAGAGCTGGACCAAACTCATTGCCCGAAGATAAGACCCCTCCCCTCCACCCACCATGTCAGACATGTACATCCTTAGGGTGACGGCCGGCCCGAACTACGACGCAGATTCACAAACCGAAGTCCCAGTCAACACCCCAAAGCCCGTCAAAATCAGCACGCCTCTCGCCGACATTGAGCTCAACGTCCGTATACAAAACTACGCCGGCCTCCCCCGCAAATCACCAACAACCTCAACCTACTTTTCCACGGAGCCTCACTCCAGCAACAATGACCAGTACAGCATCTCCTTCCGCTTCACGCCCAAAAAGCCCGAGGGCTCCTCGGAGCAGGGCATCTCCGCCGCCGACCTCCAGTTCGGCAACGACTTTGACCACCCCATCAGGGACCGTCTGCCGCCGGGCTTCAACACGGCCATGAACATCGTCAAGTGGTGGATCGACCCCGGCCTCGAGGGCGACGCCTATGCAGACACCCCATATCTCTACGGGCCCGCCCTGAGTTCCTTCAACGTCATCCACGCGGGCGCGGGCACCTATGATGAGGAGAAGGGAGGTCTCTGGTTTGAGGAGGGAGGCGACGAGGACGGGTTGGAGATGCGGGAGACAGTCGGTGCGCCCGCGACGTCCAAGGAGCGCATGAAGTGGGCGCTGAGGAAAGACAGCAAGGAACAGTGGGTGTTCGAGTACGGCAAGACGTACGGCATGGACTTCTTCAACCCGTACCTGGACTTCTCCAACTTGGCTCTTCGCTTGCCCGGTTTTCAGCTTGCCATCATGAAGTACTGGGACGGACAGGGACTGAGGTGAGTCGAATACCCCTTTTCTCTTTCAGGCTTGGCCGTTCTTGTGTGTTTTACCTGCGAGTTTACACCCCCTTTGATTCTCATGGTACTTACTCCCTTCCCCTGGGGGTGACTTTGGAATTGGAACTGGGATCGGAATTCAGCGACACTACGCCATGCTACGCCATTGCTGGAAACGAGGAAACCTTTCTTATGTTCACTTCTCATGTCGTTCTTACTCTTTGCAGGGAAGGAGGGCCGAAGCGCTCACACCAGCTCAGATATGTTCTCCGGAACCGTTCCACAGGCGACGTCTACCTCGTGGTCCTCTTCACCATCCATTACAAGACCGACGTAAACGAGGACGGGACGCTCAAGGAGGATGCTGATGGCCCCAAGGCCGGGGACTTGCCGCCGCCTGACAAGGAGCAGCACGACGCCCATGACGAAACCAAAGCTCTCAACGAGGCCAAGAAGCACTTGGGCCCGGTCCCGCAAGAGGCGGATACGAATGCTGATGATGTGGACTGAGTGTTTCATAGGTATGGGTTGGGGGATAATTCATGGGACTTAGGTGCTCTTAGAGTATACACAAGTGAGCAATGGCTTTGCACAATTTTAGACACCTGTATGATCTTCACAGAGAAGTTTTGGATTATTGGGATCTATGTGTGTGTCTATCTAGTCCTCGCATCTGTGCTGCAATAGAAATCTAAATGCACGAAACTGGTTCAAAATACCTTGGAGCTTTTTGATCCACAAACATGGAAAATAGGCAGTATGAAATCTTTGTAAATGGTGATGTTGCAGGAGGTGCGATGCTGTGCAGATGATCGGGATGCTTTGAAATCTCGTCTTGGGTATCTTCATTTACTTTTATGCAAAATCACATCGTCAAATCGACGACATACCTGTATGGCGTTGATTATGACCAACATATTGTTATTACCATCCAAGCAGATAGTCACGCATTTCACCTTTGAGGTTCGAGATTCTTTTCACAAGGAGTTAGCTTCACACATTCCAGAAGTAGGTGAGGAGTACTTACAATGGCGAACTTGCTCTTGGCCCGGATCTTCTCTCCGAAAAACACAAGCGCCCAAGGAATAAGGGTCAGGCCCGTGGCGATGCCGCCAAGCAATGCCCCAGCACGAGCCTCGCCGAGATTTCGGAATAATGCACCGGTCACAAGAGGGAATATTCCGCCCAAGATGTTACGACAGCAGGACTGCGCCGCCAATGCCGAGGAGGCGAACTTGTGGTAAATGTCGGCAAAATAGTTGAACGTCGCCAGGTAGACCGAATATATACCCCACGTAGCGAAGGCAATGCCAATTGCAGGAGCGATCCAATGAACCTCGTGACGAGCAGTAAATCCGAAGAGGAAGAGACCGATAGGTAGCAGGGTAGCTGTGATACAAGTGAAATAAAGACGCGACTCAGGTGCCTCGGCGGGTAAGCGTCGTCGTATGAAGAGCCAGAATGAAGACAGATTATCTGGGGCAACGTCGGCACGCCACTGAGGCAACTTTAGGAGCTCGTCCTGCAAGACTCCAACGATGGTGGCTACCACGGAGCCAACGATCATGGCGCTGAAGAAATACCCGGAGTGCTCAATGTCCCAATTCCTCGTTCGCGAGAATGCCAGTGGGATACTGCCAAATGTGCAGTATAAGACAGCCCAGGCAAAAGCACACCAAAGGGAGAAGAAGAAGACGACAGGTTCCGTGAAGAGGAGGAGAAATGGTCTGGATACGGAGACGGAAATCATCGTGGCGACGGAAGCTCTCTCCTCGTCCTCCTTTACGAGCCAGCGAAGTCTTTGCGGCGACAGCTGTGTTGAGCATCGTGGACTTGAGCGACACGTTGCAGATGACTTTTCTTGCCCGGAGCATGAGCCTCCTTGGGTATCAGTATCCGAGTTTGAATCTGCCGTGGTGTTGTTGGAGTTGTTCGTCGTGTCATCTAGCCACACGCCGTAGTGGCCAGCCGTTTCGAGTTGCTCGTACCAGCGGTTAATGAACCTAGCTTTCCTGGAGAGAATGACCGAGCCTCGACTCTCTTTGAAGAGAACAGCGAGAGCAATGACGAGAACCGCGTCGATGATGACTTGATGCCAAAAGATCCATTTCTAGATTAATATCGGTTAGCATGTGTATGGTGTAACAGAAACAGCCGGGAGACAAACCCATGCCATGGTCGGGTCAGTGGCTCCCATACGCTTGGTCATGATGGCAGCGACCAATGGACCTGCCCCTGTCCCGGCCAAGACTGCACCGCTGAAGATGGCCTGGGTTGATGTTAATTACTAATATGAACCTAGGGCACGGGAAATCGGTAAATACCATCGGCGTATTCCTCTGCTCCTTTGCCCAAAGATCCGCAATGACGCCGCCAATGACAGAACTGAAGACGGAACCGCCCACGCCCACCAGGAAGCGAGCAATGAGCATGGCGGCAAGATTTGGTGCCACGGAGCAGACGGCTTGGAATATGACATAGATCACACCAGATATGATGAAGACGGGATATCTACCCCAGAGTTCTGACAGGGGGGCCAGAACCATGGGCGAGAGGGCGAAACCTATGCAGAATGTGGTGATTCCGGTAAGCATTGCCAGACGAGTTGTGTCCAGATCTGCAGCCATGATGGAGGCCGGAGGCGAGTAAGATCCAGCAGTGTAGGCCGTCAAGAAGGTGGCGACGCATGAGAGGGCCAACATTAGGTATTTGCGTTCGTGAGGCCATTGCAGAGGATTGGAGAAGCGGTTGAGATCCGGGGCCGGTGGAAGCGGTTGTGACTCTGGTGACTCGAGAAAGGCTGGGTCAGGAATAAGCGATTCGAAGGTGAGGTATCGGTAGGTGATGGGGCTGTTCTCGTCAAGAGGAGGGGTTTCCGAGCCAGGTTGGAGAGAGGCTTGGAGGAGCGAGGGTGACTGCCCCGTTGCCCCAGGGCCCTGGGGCGCCTTTTCGATATCGTGGGCTAAGCTCGTCATTGTTGCCGAGGTGTATGAGGAAGTGCAAAGACAACGGGCTGTATCGAAGGCGGCGGCAGCAGCCTGATCAGAAACCTAGGTATCTGCGGGCAAGTTGCTGACAATTCCAGAATCCATGACCGGCCTCCACACGGTGCACAGATGGGATCCAAAAAGAGGGTGCGCGAAAGCCGAGAGAAGTAGGCAAATGACGTTCCTGGAGTTTGCATCGAGGGCGTGGCAGGATGTTATATTATAGGACCGGATATGCGGCCAGGTGAGCGGGAATAAGACAAGAGGACCCGACCCGGCTGGCTGTGCCCTACCCTGGCGAGCCCGGCCTGGTCAATCTGCACACGACTGGTGCCTTGCTCCTTAGCACCCTGGCAGCATGGCACCGCTGGCACCTATCCGTATTCGTAGGCGGTCAGGGTCCCGGGTGGGGATTGGAGACTGCAGATTGGAGAACGAGGATGCCAGATGCCGGATGGCAGATTGGAGATGCGATTGTTGGCAGCTCAGCTTAGCTCGAGGCGGGAGGAAGGCCGGTCTCCGACCTCGTCCGCCGTGTGCGTGCGACAGGCCAACGCAAATCGTATCCTGGTCCGCTGTGCTGTGCCTTGGACGCGCAGTTGTGGACAGTACCCCGCGAATCTTGATAATATCGATTTCAGCGAAACGGATCTCGACATGATGTGCTGTGCTGACCCGGCCGTGTTTGCCGTTTTCCGTAGCGAAGGGAAGGCGAGGGAAGCGAAGCGACGCGGGGAGGATCAGCCCGCGTGCAGATCGCAGACAGACGGACCATCCATACTGCCAATGTCACACACATATGGCTTGCCAGGTTATTCCTTTGCCCTCAAACTGGCATATCGACATTGGAGCCAGACAGGCTGCGGCTGCTGCTTCTCTCATGATGCTGGCAAGGGCCAGACCGAAACCAAACCACGGGCATGGAAACCCGCGCAGGCTTAGTGACGGGGTCGTCTCGTTGCCAAGAGTTGACCCCGGGGGTCATCTGGGGTGGTCGCATGGCCGTGAGCAAGCGAGCTGCTTTGACAAGTGCCTGAATCGTCCGTCCGTCCGTTTGTCCCCGCCATCTCTAACCAATCTGGGAATGAACCGGCATCTAAGTCTGCACTCTTTTTCGTTCCCATCCTATTCCCGGGTGGTCTGGGCGAATGCGCAAGACTCAAGTAGCCGCAGAGACGGCGTCATCTTGAGACGGAGTGGTGCATCGGTTACCGGCTATTCCTAGCGTTTGAATGATGAAGTTGTGATGATGCTAAGCTGGTCCGGTCTGATCTGGTCCAGTCTGGTCTGGGGAGCCTACGGTTGGAGAGCCGATTGAGGCAGACACGGACACCGTGTGAGATTTAGTGCGAGATCATCGAGATGGCAAAATGTCGCCAAAGATCCAGAATCAAAGTCACATCCACGTTGGATGTGCCAAGCCTACGTGGAGCAGACGCGATTAATGACTTTTTTAAACCCTGTTATTCCCGGTGCTCCACGGCGTCGGTGAGATTCCTTGATCCTTGTTGGCTATTTACAATGCCCTGACCAATCCTCTCTTCTTGACCAAACTTCAGAACCTCTTATTCCATTCCCCTCGTTACCATCCCCTTTTCCCCGCCATTACCTGGAATCTTTGAAAACAAATACTTCTCTTGCGCGCGTCCGTGTCCTTTTGTGTGTAATCCAACAATTTGTACCGAGGACTTTTGATAAGCTCGGTCGAATCCATCCAACAGCTCATCGCCTTCTCTTCGTCAGCCTTCCAATGCCGGTAGTTCGCCGGTGAATGAACAAAGAATGCTGTTCTTTCTTAGAACCATGTTCTTAGTTTTGGTTGACGGCCTGCATGTAAGTGCCAGTGGGAGAAGTTTGGTGGTACGTGCCAGCAGGCGGGTTCTGAGGGTAGGCATCAGTAGGAGTAGCCGGGTAGGGGGATCCAGTAGTAGAAGTAGGATGGATGTGAGTTGTTGCTGAAGGAGAACTCTGGATAGATGGTCCAGCAGTAGTCGGACTCCCAATGTAGCTATCGCCGGGCAGTTCGGCCGGTTGAAGCTGGATCTGGTGCTGCGGGTGAGGTTGGTAGGCGATGTAGCTGCGTTGGGAACCCACGGTGCTTTGAGGATAAGAACGCGAACCACGGTCCTGATAGGGTGGAAAGATTTCCGTCTGCGTTCCGCCGCCGTACTGAGTCGGGGTCAGGTCCTGAAGTTGGTACTCATCTTGGTTCTGTTGAGCGCTTCCGTTCTGCATGCCCTCCGGACGAGGAAGTGGACAAGGGGCGCGATGACCAAAAGGGAAGGCATCTTCGTCCGCGGACGGCGAATGCGCAGTTTGGCCGTAAGTCGGGTCCCATCGACCAAGGCCGCTGCTAGCCAAGCGCGCGTTGCCATCTTCGACCGCTTCATTGCTACGATTCCAGGCCCTGAAAATGGCAACGGCGATGAGCAAAAGAATGAATCCACCAACGACACTGGGAATGATGATGATCAACTGCGGGTTGGGCGCGCTGTTATCACTGGCATCTGGAGCGGGCGTGTT